TGTTAGTTTTATAAGTTGCTGAAATGTATACTCCACTCTCCGTTTTAATCCTCTTCTTGTCATCCTGAACTCTCACATACTTCTTAGATTTTGCATCCCACCTAAACACATTAACAATATTCATTCAAAAAATAACAATTATTTCTGTATTACTGTGATAAGATTTCAAAACAAGGCCAGCAACATCTCTTCCGATTACAGAACCTTAAAATAATAATGAAGTTTGAATTCGTAAAAAGTATTCCTCCTTGCACGCTTTTAAAAAAGGCCATCTAAATATCGCTTTTAAAATTTATGTTTTCATATGATGTGGGGTAATCATTGTTCAGAGAGATAATTTATGTATTTTTATTCATCAGTCATTTAATTACTTCGGGGATTAAAGAGGAAAAATTTAATAATTAAAGGGAGTGACCGGCTATGTAACGTAGTTGAACTGAGTATGCAGTGTTGTGGAAAACTTCTTTCTTTCGGATTCATTAGACACATTAAACTTTTTGAAGATCTGTAAATCCTGAGATTATGCGCAAATTCGACGTTCAAAACTCCTACTTTGGGGGTGGATACGTTTTCAGAATAGTTTCTTTTAATTATTAAATAACGACGACAAAATATGTCTTTAAAAAGTTTAGTATGTCTCAAATGAATCGAAAGAAGTTTTCCACAAGACTGCATACTCAGTTCAACTACCTTACAATACCGGACACTCCCTTTAAATCAAAATTTATCCCTGCAAGGTATGACCACTCACGGAATTTCTAAGAGGAATTAAATTAATCCGTAAGTCCAAAAAAGATGAAGTCCAACTCTTGATCCCTGAGATTCACAATACAAAAGTTCTGTACTCAGAGATCGGAGCTTTGTGTGGAGATCATTATCCTTAAACTTGATTTCAATATTATCCAACACGAGCAGTGGGCACTAAGAATCTATGCTTGATCCATAGATCAAAGTTCCTGCTCTAGGGTATGACCACCACGGGATATCGAAGAGGAATTGAATCAACCCGTAGGTCTGCCAAAAAGTGGATATCATTGCTTGATCCCAAGATTCACAATGCAAAAATGATGACCACAGATCTAAGAACTTTCATGTGAATACTTATAATTCCGATGGCATGATCGCATAATTGGTGGATCAGTGCTTAATCTCTTCACTTCAGTCATTCCTCCAGGGTAGTTACCATGCGGGATATCGAATAAAAACTAAATTAATCTGCAGATTAACAAAATATTAAGATAAAAAATTAATCTCGATATCCATCTCACAAGAGTTCCCAGCTTTGGTCATATTTGAAATTAGATCTCAAATCGCCAGTTTTAATCGGTCCTTGAACATGGATAAAACAATGGCGGGAGGGGAGGGGTGGTACTTACTTCATCATTCCTTTCTTCCGTCTCATGTGAACATCTTCGTCTCCTGTTAGGTCCAGCACAGCTCCATTAGCCTAGACGTAAACCAAAATTTAATGCACAATCAATCAATAAATCGATCATTAAAGGTTCCATCGTTGTATTACCCTTAAAGAAAAAATCAATAAATTTTTTATCGGAGAAAAAAGCGTGAAGTTTTTAGTTTAATTTTTGAATTTCCTTAAAAGCTGGAAAGATATAATAAAAAATTGGAAATAAACTTTCTTAAAAATACCCCCCCCCTCCCCCCACGTGCACTGCTACATTAAGGTATTGATTACCTGTGAGTCGAACCCAGTATTGAGAGTATACCCTGACTCAGTATGTTTATCTGAAGCTTCATAGGGAATATAATTCTCATCCTTCCCACGGGGTTTCTGCTTCTTCTCCCTGAACACCTTGGTCTTGTTCCAGCTCGAATTCACCACCGTGTCGAAGGTGTTAAGGATATCGTCCTCGGTACTACTCTGAAGGTTGGACGGAGCAACCTGAAGAACCTCCTGGTTAACCATCTTACGGCGCTTGGCTGTCTGATCTATGATATTAGCGTGCATCTTTCTCTTGGTATTCATGATATCGACGATTTCTTTATTCTTGTTCGTGTTTCCGATCTCAAAAATCGTCGATCTTGGACGAAATTTCTTCATTTCTTCGAGAATGTTTGATCTTTTCTTGTCATTAGTTGAGATGGTTTTAGTGAGCAGAGGATGATCTCCCATTTGTTGAATTTTTAATTCTTTTGTTCTCTTCACACTCTCAACACTAGCTCCTTGCCTGCACTTCAAGTACTGCTTGTAACCGTTCTCCGAGATCTGCTTTGCGCTCTGCAGATCGACGTTGTCGGCGTGCCAGGCGTTAAGCATATCAGAGAACTCGTCATTAACGATTTGTGGCACACGGCCGATCATTCTGTGCCATTCAAGTTCAGGATCGGGGTTTAAAGGGATTATCTCCGGAGAACCGCCCAAGAACAGCTGTAAATCTATAAAATATGCGGTCTCGTCTGTCGCGACGAGAGAGTAAGCAGTTCCTGTTCGTCCAGCACGGGCAACTCGTCCGACCCTGTGGATAAATAGTTTACTTTTGGCGGGAAAATGGTAATTTATCACGTTATCCAGAAGTGGGATATCAATACCACGTGCCGCTAGATCAGTTACGACCAGAACAGGTAACTTCTTGCTCGAAAACTTTGCCGCGTTAATCTTCCTGGCGGCAGGGTCGAGGTTGCTGTAGATGTAAGTGGCGGGTATCTCGGCCAACTCCAGGAGAACCTGCAGATATTCAACATGGTGCCGAGTTGCCGTGAATATAACAGTTTGTTGACCAGCAGGGATAACTTCCTAAAAATATAAACAATGACAATTTCTCCTTTTTCTCAAATATTTTTTAACGAAAATTAGCAAAATTAACATCTGATTTTTCCCATTCTCCCCCCCCCCCCAGAAAAATGGCCCCCATTGGCGTAGAAGTTTACAACAGTGATTTTTAAGGAATAATGGAGATAACGATATTTAAATCATATCCTACCTTTAGTAAATATAGAAGACAAGCATCCTTAGCATCCGCTCTACAATTGAAGAAAGCTAGCTTGAGAGTATCCGGGATCTTGGATTCAACATCCAACCTGATCAGGGTTGGGTCAGCTAACCCAGCCTTGGCAAAGTCCACCAAGAGCTTAGGAAGGGTCGCTGAGAAGAGAACGGTTTGTCTTGAGTCCGGGAGACGAGCAAGGATTTCTCTAAGTTGTTCTCCGAACCCCATCTCGAATAGACGATCTGCCTCGTCGAAGACGATGTACTCGACAGAGTTGAGCTTGAGTCCCATCTCAAGACAGAGATGAACAAATCTACCCGGGGTTGCAAATATAACATCAGGGTTCTCATGAAGAGCAGCAAACTGTTTCTCCATGGCATCTCCTCCGAGAACACTTTCAAATTTTAGTCCTAAAATATTTCAACTTTAATGGCTTAATCACAAGATTATTTTTGGTTTCAAAGTAATGTAATGTATTCCCCTTTTTTTAATTAGTTCAATTGAAAACTAGTTTCATTCTAAATTGATTCCTATGTCTGTTAAAGCTCCAATCCGGTGTCTTTAACCTTAGATTTTCCAGGGGTCCATATAATTCCATTTCTGATCCCAAATTGGATGGAGGTTGAAAGTACATTTAGGGGCATGAAAATACACTTTCTGTGTCATTGTGAAATTTGGCAAGTTTTTTTGTGTACATATACTACGCTTATGAAATGTGTACTGCATTTGGGGTGTTTAAAGTTGTAAATATCAGTTATCAATATAATAAATAAATTATGATATGCAGAAACATAAACAGTTATATATCTTCTGCAGTATGGAATTTTTTCTACAACTTGACATCATACTTCCAACTGTTTACAGCAACAACATGGTTAATTTCTTCCCCAAATATCAATCAATCAACATTCGGCATAGTATTGGATGGAATTATGTGGCCCCCTGAGATTTTCTTTGGACTTTTTGGGCATTTATCCCTTATATCTTTCTTGCGTGTTTTTTTTGTGTGTCCTATAAATATCAAACCGGCTTAGGCGATATGGCCAAGTTAAAAGTGAAAATTTTTATAATCAATCAATGCTAACAGAAAAATTGCGAAAATATTGTTTTATTTTCACGTAAAAAAGGTTGCGAAAAAAACAACAATGAGAAGCTAAGATTGTTACTAGAAAAGGGGCGTGAAGCGCCCTGGTAGATCATTACATAATAAGTTTAACGATTTTACTTAACTAACCTGTAAACCTGCCTAGTTCCTTGGCAAACCTTAGAGTTTGAAGAGCAAGTTCTCTGGTTGGAGAGAAAATAAGAGCTCTAGCTCCGCTCTTGGCTGATCTACATTTTAGTTTCTCAAACAAGGGGAGCAGGAAGCAAGCGGTTTTCCCGGAACCCGTCCTTGCCATGGCAACAACATCTTTTCCGTCCAGGATGAGAGGAATTGTTTTTCTCTGGATCGGGGTGGGAACCTTGTATCCTTTCTTCATCACACCTCGGAACACTTCTTGGGATAGACCCATAGCCTAGAGATAAATTAAGTTTATCTCAAATACAATTTATATTTGAAAGCATCAGATTTTTTCCCTCTCAATTTTCACCAGATTTTGATGACTGTACTGTGTCAGTTCCTTATATTCGTTTTGAAAATATGTGCACAATTTTTAAAAAAGACTTTAAATTGCGAGAATGAACCAACAGATTTTTTTCAGATTTAAACAAAATAACCTAAAGTGAACAAATTATAATTAATAATAATAGTAATGATCCTCGATAATGCACCGGTTTATATAATTTGTAATAAAATACTTCTCTCATTTACGAATTATTTTTGTTGAACTGAGCAAAACAAAATGGCGGGGGGGGGGGGTTACCTGAAACCCTCCACTTTTCTTCTTCTTCCTGTTCATTTCCTGAACCATCTTACTCATATCCATCCCCTCATCTTCCACCTCACTCCCTTCACCGAGCCCGGGGAAACCAGATAACATTCTGGATCTGAAAATTATAAAATATGTAAAGTTTAATTGTAACGGATACGGTTCAGTACAAGGTACGATATATAGATTTCTTGTTTCAGTAAACTGGAATATGTACAGGGCACGTCCTTGCGTATACTAATCATAAAATTATTGTTATTCAAATCTAGATTTGGTTCTAAGATGTACCGAATTTACAACATAACATTATCAAAATAACAACAACACGATATAAGTGACCTGGATTTATAAAATAAATACAAAAAGTTCACATAAAATTATTATAAAAATCGTTATTGGTTCTAAGACATACAACGATAAAATTAACAGTAAAACAAAATCATAGGGTTTCGCATAGAATATATTATTTATATATCGTAAAATGTATATGTAGTTGATGATAAAAGACACATTTTTAAGAACAAATTCTTGTTAAATTCGGGTTAAAGCCAAAAAAAACAGAAAAGGACATTTAGCAAAAATAAAATGATCAACATAAGAGTACATGGGGGAAAGTTGTAAGCGAGGTAGTTTAAATTTCTGAGATCTGGAGACAAAATGTGAAGGAAACACATTTAAATAACACTTTTTCATGTATAAGTGAAAAGCACAAAGTATCAAAATAAACAGAAAAGTATATTAGGGCGTTACACCATAAGTTTATTGGCGTAAGCTCACATTGAAGAGAAATGTAAGCAAGGTGATAAATACGAATTAAATTTAATGGCATTCAAATTCAACAATTTTTAACAAAATTTTAGCTGCGGCTAAGACAAGCTAGGGGGCCGAGCGCCGCGGCCAGGAGGCCGGGCCATATGGTAGATTATACCCATTGCCGGGAGCTGCGGCCATATGACCAAAAATATCCATGTGATACATTTGATACCCATGTACGAAATTGATAGGAGGGGGGGTCCAAAATTCGTATACTAGGAAATTACCTAATTAATATAACACATTTAAACTAGGACAATCATGTGTCCTGAAAAAAACTTCATAAAGTTAAATTGTTCTGGATTTGGTGAATCTAAGATTTTAAAGCGATACATTCTTTCTGAGATTGCCCATGATAACTGAAATTAATATTATCAGACTCATCGCGTAAACTTTTACGTAAAATGTACGCAAGTGAACTTAAACTTGGAGAAAATCCATATTAATATAAATATTAAATTAAAACTGTGTAAACGCCGTTTTAATTTTCCTATTTTAGAAGATGTTGCTCGACACAAGATTTCAATATTTATTATTGTTTTTAAATATTATTTTCGAAAGCTGACGACACACGTGCCGTTGTTGCAGACAATTTCGCTACTTTCTTTTTCAGAAATTCAGATTTTACAGTTGCGAAACAAGTCGATAAAAATTGCTATATTGACGGAATTTAAGAGTGAAATATTTCCAAACATTTAGTATATCAAATTTCGATTAGAATTAAAATTTTTAATATCACAAAGTCTAATAATTATTCAATTGCGGCCCCCCACCCTCGTACGCCCCTGTCAATTACTGACTCATTATACTAAATCCATCAATTAAAATCACTCATTAACCAACTTTGTGATATTTCAAGATGCAATACTCAGTCAAATTTGTCAAAAATTTCATTGTAAAACAGTTTAAGAATTCAACAGGGTTGTCCTTCTATATATACTTTAGCTTTATATCTCGAGAGGGAGAAATCCATTGAGAACTAGTTACGTCTTTTTTTGATGAATTTTTGCAACATTTTTTCATTTAAAAAAAATTCCCTATTTTTTCGCTTGATCTGTATTAGCAAAATTTTCGCTTTTTTTTGTGAAATTTTCGCATTTTCGTGAAATTTTCTGTTTTCTTCTTTCGCAAAATTTTGCAAGCGAAAAAAAATGCGAAAATTTTCGCGAAAAATGCGAAATTTTCTGAAACAATTTTCTTTTTTCGCTGGAAACCCTCATCAAGGTGTAAAAGCTAAAGTGCACCAAGAAGTAGGGCGTCTGAAGAAGTATAGCAATAATATATTTCGAGTTTAAGAAGTTTTCTCAAAAGAGGGAAATGCCTCAAAAAATTCCGGAAACTCTTAAAAAAAGAGGATACAACTCAACTAATTTTAAAGTTTTAAAAGTTTTTTTTTTTTTAACTGAAACTCCTCAAAATTTTCGGAAACCGGTCTTAAAAAAAGAGGAAACACCTCAACTAAATGAAGTTTTAAAAAATATGGAAACGCCTCAAAAAAAAGAGGAATGGAATTACACCTTAACTGTTTTTAGAAATGCGGAAACACCTCAAAATTTTGCAGAAACGTCTCAAAAAAGGAAACACCTCAACTAAATAGAGTTTCAAAATATACGGAAACGCCTCAAAAAAACGGAAACAACTCAACTAAATAGAGTTTTTAGAAATACGGAAACCCCTCAAAAATTTTGCGGAAACGCCCCAAAAAAAGAGGAAACACCTCAACTAAATAGTTTCTAAATACACGGAAATGCCTTTAAAATATTGGGAAATCCCTCAAAAATGTTGGGAAATTCCTCAAAAATATTTGTCAGCTATAAAGCGGACACAGGACACCCCTCAAATATTTTAGGAAACGCCGCAAAATAAAGAGGAACCAAAAACTGGGTTTAGGGATTTCCATATCTCACAGAAATCGCGGAAACTTCTCAGAAAAACTACTTTTGAGGAGTTTAGCTTTTTTTGAGGCCTTTCCGTGGTGAGGCGTTTCCATAGCACCCTTCAAAGATGTCCTTCTTAAAACAAAAACAGGAAAAAATACTTTAAACCTAAGATTAATTTTTGGTAATTTTTTAATACGCTTCTGCAAGATTGTTCACTATAAGCAGATTTTGCTGAACCTTTTAAAATTTTAATGTTTTTTTTTTACAAATTTAGGAAGTTGACTTTTAAACACAAGTAATGACTTTTAATAGAACGTAGTCCAATTTGAGCATGAGACACAGCAATTGTGCAGTGTAAGTAAACAGACCCATTTCACTTTATAAGTGATTCAATCACTTACTAGTACAGCTCTTTGCTTTGTAACTTCAGTATTACTTTAATGTCGTCTTCCTGTTCTACAGTTTCCTGGTTATGACTGTATAGTGTATATTAACTAGTATGATGTAATCATGTGATTAATCAACCTACAGTGATAACCAGAAAACTCTGAAATAGGAAGACGACTTTATAGCAATACTTGTGTATTTGATGTTATTTTATAGACATTAAATAAGTGAAATGGGTCTGTTTACATTGCACAATTGCTGTGTCCCATGCTCATTGGACTATTTATAGTCATAATTTAAGTATAAAAGTCGTCTTTATATTCCAGAGTGTTCTGTTTATAACTGTAAATGGAGGGAATTGGAGGAAATTAAAAAGTGTACTTGAAATTTTGCATGTGTTATGTTGGGTATTCTAAAAACCTAAGTTTGCATAATGTTGATCTGACTGTTAAAAATAATAATTATAATAAAAATAAAAGCATGAACAATGAAAGACTTTTTTTGTTTCGATTAGATAATATCTTCTGTTTGATTCAACACAAAAAGTGATAAAAGGAAACTTCTAACTCTTCTAACGAATAAATTTTCAAAATAACTTCTAGGTATTTATTTGGGGTCACCTCAAAATTCTTAAAATATTCAATTAGCATGGATTAATTTTATAGGATGGCCAGCGGATAAAAAACTGGATTAAGTTTTTGAAAAACAATCTAAATAAACTTTATTAGGTTGTATGAAATTATTTAAAACCTTATTATTTCACACACAAAAAATCTTTATGTCTCACATTTAACTAAAATAAATTGCACTTAAGATTGAATTTAATATATTTATTCATATATACTCCTTTCATTGACGAGCTATTGAGAAGGAAAGAAATGTTTAAATTTTTAATATGAAACCGAAAAAATATGCTTTTCTAATTCTTGTGCGCAAAATCATAACTAGAGAAACAGACGAGGTCACAAATTCGTGTGCCGTTCAAATGGTTTATACACCGTTTATATCGTTTATGTACCGTTTATATACCGTTATATTGTTTATATACCGTTTATATCGTTTATGTACCGTTTATATCGTTTATATACCGTTTATATTGTTTATATACCGTTTATATCGTTTATGTACCGTTTATATCGTTTATATACCGTTTATATTGTTTATATACCGTTTATATCGTTTATATACCGTTTATATTGTTTAAATCGTTTTTATACCGTTTTTATCGTTTTTATACCGTTTTATCCTTTATATACCGTTTTATCGTTTATATACCGTTTTTATCGTTTATATGCCGTTTTTATCGTTTATATACCGTTTTTATCATTTATATACCGTTTTTATCGTTTTTATACCTTTTTATCCTTTATATACAGTTTTTATCGTTTATATACCGTTTATATCGTTTATATACCGTTTTTATCGCAAGAATTTGCATTTTCCTTTTCTTTAGTTTACAGTGCTCTGCAACAAACGATTTATTATAGAAAGTACGTAACATTCAAAACAATTGAAGAACAAATTTAAATCTTATCTTTTTAACACAGTCCTTTTTATTAGAAGTTTTTGGTTTAAAGTCTCTTTTTCTTCTTTTTTATGTTTTCTTTTCTTTATTTTCATTTGCTCCTCCGTTTAGTCTGAGATGAAGCGAGTAAAGGGTTAAGTTAAGGTTAAGTGGAGTTAAGGAAAGCAAGTTAAAGAGAGTTATATTTCCAGGCAACGCTGTGCACCCATGTTAGTTAATCATTAAAATAAGAACATTGCATAAACGACACCAGGATTGATTCCTATCTATGTTTAATTTTTCTTACTTTTATTACAATGAAACATTTAAGGTATTATGCTTCTCAATTAAATTTTTATCTATGTATATTGTATCCCCCCCCCTTCCCCCTTGGGAATTGAAAATTGCATTTATGAGCAATTTTGGACGAGTCTATTTTAGCAACAGAAGAAATTGCAATTTGAAGCTGCAAAAATAAATGGATCTGGACTAAAATTTAGATAAAAATATTTAAATATTTTTAATTTGAAATGTTAAAGAAATAATTCAATATTGCAAATAAATATTTAAATATTCTTAATTTGAAATGTTAAAAAAATAATTTAATATTGCAAATAAAGATTAAAATATTCTTAATTTGAAATGTTAAAAAAATAATTCAATATTGTAAATGTTACATTGTGGTGCACCGTCCTTTTACAGTAAAAGCTTTAAATTTAAATTTTAAAGGGACTTCTCACTGAATACATTGAAGACTAAGATGCTTAACAAGTAAACCTTATTTACCCGTTGTTTGGCCTTATTAATAGGATTTAATCAATTATCATAGCTTTAAACATCAAACTGCTATTAAAGAAACTTCTCATTAAATTTTAAAATTTGACAACAACCCCTTTAAAGTACAGATGGTCGATCCCATTTTGAAATAGTTAAGGTTTGTTGCTGTTGTATATGTATAGTCTAGAGTTGAAGAGTAGAGGGTGCAACTCTCCAACGTACTTCAGAGACGTCTAGAACAGATGCACTCCGTTGAACCAGACCTTGGGTAGACTGCAGTTAGCTGCACTAGACTGCACCCAGACTGCAGATCCATGCAGGACCTTGCAGTTCAACTGCAGACCTAGAGAGCCAACCCCTCCCTGCATAACATGGACTCAACCCATTGCAGGCCATTGCACCCAGGGGTGGTTTTAACGTACAAAATTTTCTCCCCAAAAATTCTCTAATAAGGCTTTTTTCCTCCGAAAAACTTCAAATCTGGGCAAAAATTATTTCCGAATAGTTTTTTCCGGACTGCGAGAAGAAAAGTAAAAGTTTTCTGCTCTTGTAGCAGATTGCAGGAGTGCATTGACTGCAGAATGCTACATGCATATTTTTTGGTTTTACTTTCAATTTGCAGTTTCCCTTCACATCCATACATGCAGTTTTTAAATGAACTTAATGTTAAAACAAGAAAATAAACAAACAAAACAGAATAAAAGAATTCAATGAAAAAATTTGAGTTTTCGGGTTTATATATAAAAATTTTGATGAAAATATAATGAACCCCATAGATTTTTTGTTATCTCGATTACAGTTCATGATATATTTTCCTTGCCAGGGATGAAATAATTTTTAAAGTTTTGATAACAAGAAGTAAAATGTGACGTAAACTATTCTATTTCTCTCTCTTGAAAGTAAACTGAAAACTGGAGAAGTTACGAAGGCGCCAAGTTGTTCCGGTATGTTTGCTCGAAATTAACAATGCCAGAGGGGGACGGGGGTATTTTTCCCTCTGCTTAGCTCATTGATTCATTTTGTCTCTCTCCCCCCATCTTCCCTACTTCCCTTAAATTATTTGCAAAGATTAAAAATAATTAATTTTTTCAGCATCTAATTCAAATTTTACATTTCGCAAAGGAATTGAGTCTTTGACATAATCTCTGACTTTCTTAAACTTATATCTTTGAAACCTGATGGTGTAAACCTTGGATATTTTAAACTTAGAGTATTAGAGTAAAAATATGGAATTTTATTTTTTTATTTCAATTTTTTTAGCCTATGTTACCTCCGGGATACACCTGGGTTCCCTCAAAAAAGTCAGCCCATTTGGTCCAGCCGTTTGGCCGGCTAGGGAACACGTATACGAATCTCTTGTTTTATTATATAGAAGATATCTAAGGTTAATGACATTGGGCTGCAAAATTAAAGGGGTTAGAAAATCAGAGTTTGTGGCAAATATTCAGTTCTAAGGAAAACATAAATTGGTTATTAATATCAGTGAACGTCCCGAATTCCTAGAAAAAATAACATGTCTTGTTGTACAGAATAAAAATTCTTGAATTTTGAAACTTTCTTAGACAAAACCATGTCCTTTTACCATTTGCTTCTGTTCTTTGTCATGAAAATTCCGTTTCTTCAATCATTAGGAAGGAAAGTGCGGAGTGCAAAGCTAAAAGATGCCCCAAGATGTCTAGTTACGCCTCTGGATTAACCATTTTTGATGTTTGCTTACTTGGATGGATTGACGGTTAACAATTGTTATAAATCTATACGTACATCTAAATAAATGTAAAGAAGTATACGTACATCTAAATAAATGTAAAGAAGTTTGAATTGCTTAAAGAAATAATTTTATTTCAATATATATATTATATATATGAATATCAAGCATGAAATAAAATATATATTTGTGAGTTGAAGGAACTGTGTGGGGGAACCCTAAAGCCGGGAGGTTTGCAAGTATATTCTGCAACTGCAACTATTGAGACGACTAGGACGGAGCGTTCACTCCGGGTCCCTGAGACAGTAGACAGGACGGATAGAGAATACTCGCTTCAAATCTCCGTCAAAACCGACGGATATTAATAAACCAAAGTAAACAACACACTGCGTGGTTGGAATTAAAACTTTAAATTTGATAATTAAATTTTTAGAAAGACATATTTAAAATTTCCTCTGTTCTGCCCATATTACCGGTATTAGGTTTGAGACGTGATTTCTATACGTCGAGTCTGTTGCAAGATAATACACACTAGATTCCTTGCAGTTTCAACTACGCTTGTCTATCTAAACTTTAGAGTTGAAAGACCTCGACAGAATCATAGTTCGGAGCGAGACGGAATATTCTAAAGATGGGTTGAATTCTTTACTTTTTCTACTCATTTCTTTCTCTATCCTACTCTATTCTACTCTACACATAAACTCTATCCTACTCTACACATATACTCTATCCTACACTACACTTTACCATATCCTACTCTACAGTAAAATTCGTTAGCTCAAGTATATCTGTAATCTATACGAACCTGTCTACGGCCAACTGCAGTTTACACTCTCCTGTTTCCCTCATTTTTCAACATGGACTGGTCCAAATGCAACTTAGTTTTCAATTAAAAAAACAAAATTTAAAATAAGTTAATGGGATTACATTTTTTAATTTCAAAGATAAATTTTAAACATTTTCTATATAACATGATAATTTAAGTGAAAAGAGTCATTTAATAGGACTGAAACTCTTTCATCGAAATTAAAATCACGTTTAAATCGAGTGTCCCAAAACCAAAAGAATTCAGACTGACAACGTAAAAACGATCTTTGATTTCCGATCGTCAGAAGAGCATACTAAAAATATTGGTGCACGTGTTTTATGCGTTTTGAAAAAAATCGAGTCTTTGCCACAAACTCTAATTTTATTATCCCTGTATCTCTTCAATGTCCTCGACCTTAGATATTTTAAACTACAGTGGTACCGGCTATTTATTATATCAGTTCAATGAAGACGACTTTTCTTTAAGTTTTGATTGCTACAGTTTTAGTTTACAAGCTTTAATTAAAGAGAAGATTTTTTAATCGACAGCGTCTCTTTGTTTCCATGTTTAAGTGTATCCCTGCTGTTTAAAAGCTTGATAAAAATCAAAATTAAAATCGAAAGTTGTCTTCATTAAATTGATATATGCGACGACGACAATTCAAAATATGAAACATTTTAAAATATCAAAAATATCAAAATACAGAGCATTTAAAAAAAACATATAAAACGACAACAAATTTCAAAGTAAGAAACATTCCAAAATATGAAACAATATGAAAATTTAAAGCATATTAAATTACAGAGCATTTCAAAAAACAAAAACCGACAAAAAAGTCAAAAATAAGAAACATTTCAAAATAAGATACAAAATCAAAATCAAAATCAAAATCAAAATGACGTCGTAGCTCTCCTTGTTGCATCTTTGAAATCTTCTTTTGGTTTGGTTCTTATGGTTTACCAGATTGACCCATCTCAGAACAAAACCCTGCAGCTTAAAACTTAAAAATTAACTCTGATATTTGACATTTCAACTTTGGTTTCCAGAGCAGGAAGCTTTAGAATGAATAACCTTTAATCCCGACAGCTTAATCCAAATATCTACTGTGGAAACTTTTAATTTTAGTTCTTAATCCACTCTTTTTCTCTTTCTTTGGATAACCGTAAATTGTATTGACCAATTCTATCCAGTGAGAGACCCCGCAATTTCTAAGAAATAAAGAATTTGTTGTCGGCCTTTTTGTAAAATAATCAGTGAAGAAAAATATGTTCAAGTCAAGAAAACGAACAAATCTGGCGTTCCTACAATCAAATTTGTTGATCTAAATAGTTAATCTCAAGACTAACATAATCTCGAGATTAGCACAAAGAGACTATTAAGCATTAATCCTGATCCAATTCTAAAGTTCCCAGCTCTGGATATTAATGCTTTATCGTTTGCACTAATGTCCGATTGAACTAACGTACTTTTGCACTTAAGTCAGCTGATCAGTAACTTGTGGCTGCATCGCCGGGCCCCTAGTCTGTCCTCGCCGCGGCGCTCGGCCCCCTAGCCTGTCCTAGCCGCAGCGCTCGGCCCAGAACTTGTCTTAACCAAACCTAACCCTTAAATAAAACGTTAGTCCGATCAATCATTAGTGCATTTTCAGAGATATTTATTCATAACTTTTGAAAACTGAAAAATAGAGAAAACAACGACTAATTCATTCTGCTTTACACAAGTTATGGAGTTGTAAGATGAATCAAAAGTTATATATCGACTTTAACCAATATTTTGATTCTTTGGATTTAAATTAATGGATTTAAAAATTATCAAATAAATGTGAGAAATTGGATTTTCTATATCCCAAAGTTTATTTATCGTATAATTTATTTATATTATGCATTACTTAAAATTTCTACTAAAAGTTTTTAGGCATAGGTTCGTTCTGCAGATCTGCACATCCAGAGTTGGTGACAAAAATCACATCACATTATACCTTTTTTTCAGGATTTTAACTCTAAATTGATTGTTATTTATGTGAAACATGAAACGTAATGTAAAATAGATTTAATAAAAAACTGAAGACGAAAATGGATATATATATATATATGTAAAGGTGTAAAAACAAAAAAACATTAACGTTTTCTACATATATTTATTTGGACTAAATAATGCAATTTTAGATATAAATATACATTCATTGTTAGGACTAACTATTTAGTGTTATTCAGATACAGGGTTACCCACAAAGGATGAGACTGTAAAGACGACCTGAAACTCATAAAATCTGACGATAAGGTTAAATTATGTCTTCCGCCTTGAATATTGTCTTTTTATGGCCTATTTATTGACATGGCAACGAAAGAAACCAGTTAACAGTTGCAGAGAATCCCAAATATAATATAGTATAAATTCTGTACAGTCGTCTTTGAAGCCTTGTCCTTTGTGGGATACCCTATATTTTAACAATACAATATTTTATCTGATTATTTAGCACCATAGACTAGAGTTATGAGTATTATTATTACTTAGTCCACTCACGTAAGATCTCAGGTTTATGCAATAAAACAATATGGCAAGTTTTAAGGCTTCATTAAAGGGACTGTAGTTGTAATTTAAAGTGACCCTCCTATTAAAGGGACTGTAGTTGTAATTTAAAGTGACCCTCCNATTAAAGAGACTGTAGTTGTAAAGTGAGCCTCCTATTAAAGAGGGGTTTATATCGGTTTTACCAAAGCCTAATTTAAACATATATCTGATCAATAATATGATTGTGAAAGATACAGTGTTTTTTAGTTTGAGAATTCTGAAAGTTTCCTCTTTCTGCAACATAAATCTGCATGTAATTATATTAGAGAAACCACAATTGAAAATAGTCAATTTCCCAAGAGAAAAACATGGATATCTCACTCGTTCTAGATCAGACGTAGCTTTTAAGGGCATCGTTTTGAATCAGACATGCCATTCTATAAATAGAGGGTCATTTTAAATAAGTGTAACGTCCCTTTAAGTAAGCATAATGTCAAACCAGGTTTATGGAAGCTGGTAAGTAAGTTAATTAAATAATAATTGATTGGTTTATGAGTGACAAGATGTATAGGTTTGCTACATCGTCTAAAAGTTAAGCTCGATATTGTAAATATATGAATGTAAAACTAAGAAACCAGGGATACAATGGATAAATAAAAATTCATGCTTAGTTTCTCTCCAAGTTCACTTTTGGATCTAAAATCTGTTTCCAAGGGATATAAAAAATTCCTGGACTGAACACGTTAACCCTTTAAGTTTGAAGTGTGTGCAGTGGATATCGAGTTTAGTTTCTGAAGCTAAGCGATATGGAGAATAATTTTTGCCTTTCTCAATTTTTAAACTATCCTCATTATGCATTATAAAAATGCACAAAGAAGGTGAATATTTGATTTACTTTTTTATGTAAATTTTCTATGATATAAATAATAATCATTGTTGATTTGTAAATCTGTTTCAAAAGGATATGCGTATTCAGGTTTGTGAAGAACTTTTATCCAAACCAGTGACTTGCCATACATTCCCGAGTCCACTCGATCTAAAAAAAATAAATTACAATTTAAATCAGACTTAGATTTCTTTTCAATTCAAGACTTTCCACACTCCCCTTCAACCCGTTCTACCCGTCGTTATCGCGATGTTAGATACTTTCCCTAAGGCCTTTCCCCAAGCGGCAACTTCCCAAGGGTATTTTCCTAAGCGGCAACTTCCCAAGGGTATTTTCCTAAGCGACAACTTCCCAAGGGTATTTTCCTAAGCGGCAACTTCCCAAGGGTATTTTTCTAAGCGGCAACTTCCCAAGGGTATTTTCCTAAGCGGCAACTTCCCAAGGNCCCTTGAAACCTTTCTATTAAATAATGTGGAAGATATTGTCTTTTTCTAGGTTTAACAGATGCAGCTTGCTGGACCTCAGAACATAACCTTTGGGAAGTTGCCACTTGGAAAATTGTCACCTGGAAAATGTCCGTAGAAAAATGCATTTGGGAAAACACCTTTATTGTAATCCTTCATTCTCTTCCTTAATCCCTTCTCATCCACTTCATTTTCTCCTAGTCTCCCATCATCCTTTTTTCCACATTTACCTTAATTTTTTCAGATATAGTTCAACCCCTTCTCCCTACACTTTTTCCTTTTTCACACTTCATTTTATTCTTTCTTTACTATCCTGTCTTTTTTGATTATTAACTTCTTCCGGATCTCCTCTCCTTCCCTTCTCTCTACTGTTACCTGACAAACCCAGCACCAATGAAGAGCACAGCCTGGTTTAGTGCAGATCATATGCATACATCCTCCATCCCTCTCCGTAGGGGTTCTACACCCAGGACAGGGTTTACTGATCACCCGGATAGTTACAGAGCTAGGATCAGCTCCAACCCAGCTGGCCCTGGTTGCTCTAGGGTCTCCTGGGAGTAAGGTTGGAGCGGATGAACCCTGCTCCGGGGTGGATTGTAAGCAGGGGAGACAAGGTCCAAGATGTGCTCCTTGAAGACAATCTCTACAGAACACAAATCCACAATCTCTGCAGGCAACCCGTCTACACAAAACATGAAATCATCAAAAATCCCGGAAAATTTTAATTTCTGAAAAAAGAGGATTTGAAATATAAACCTGCAAGTATCTGAGAGTTCTGGAAGTATTCCTGCCCCGCAGTCAGGTTGGGGGCAGAGTACTCCACCAGATTGTAGAACTAGCTCCTCAGTTCCAAACCGTTGATATCTTAACATTAAACAATAAAACAATTCGCAACTTTCTCCTTAAGATCGCTTTAAAAATATTTGTTTAAAGTTCAAACAATATATTTTCACCACTCTTTGCATTGGCTCCAATTATTTCTTTATTTCGATTATTAAATTTTACACGATTTAGTCCTCCAATTATCCTCAATTCATTCCTTCCTAGATTTTACTTTATTTATTCATTCATACTTTGTTTTATTTATTCATTGTTCAATTCATAAGATAATCTTCCTTTCATTTATATATTCTTCCTTTCTTTGAATCCTTAAATTAGTCGTTATATCAATTTATTCATCCTTTCTTCTTCCTTCCTTTCATTTATATATTCTTCCTTCCTTTCTTTTATCTTATTTTTACCTTTCATAATTAAGATCTCCGACTAGTCTGAAATGTCTTGTATCCTTGATAAGACTGTTCTCACATCCTACGGGACAGGGTAGAGTATATCCTAGCTCAGGGTCCAGATAAAACTGTCTTTCACCCAACCTTAAACACATTTATAGTAATTACACAATGATTGGAAAAAATGTGAGGTGATTTTGTTTAATTGAAAAAAGAGAAAAACTAGAAAAAGTGTGAAAGATTTCTGCTAAATGATTTTGTTTACTTGGAAAAAAAAGATTCTTTTAAAAGGATACTGAGAAATGTTTCAGAGTTGTAGTTGATTTTTAAATTTGAATATCTTCATTTATTTCCCTATTTTTTAATTATTTGTAATTAACCTGACCTTGACCTACAATAGTCCCCGAAGCACTCGACACAAATCACGTGACCATCTGCGCACTCAAACACGAGCACATCATCACATAGCTCCGTGCACGCTAGACAGGGAACCTCGCGCAAGTTAGATTTGACCATATGAAGGGGTGGGGCGGAGCTAGTCTCGGAGGTGTGGTTGGATCCGGAGCATTTAAAGAAGAACTCTACACTAGTTACAGCTGAGCAATCAGGGGTCTCACAGAAACCAGTAATCCTGGAATATTAAATATATTTTAATTTAATTTTAACTTAAAGCAGAAACCAATATTCCTACGATGTTAAACTTAAAAGGGACTGTAGTGTAAAGACCTCATTTCAAGTGACCTTCCATTAAAAAAAAGAAGGGCATGTCCGATTTACAACACCATCCTTCAACTGATAAGTGTTTCATTCTTACAGTTCAATTGTTTCTAAAGCAGAAATGCGCGAGTCTTTTAAATAGAGAATAATTAAAATAACTAATTTAAAAAAGGGAATGATGGATAACTCGTGCATTCTTGGTCAAACAAAGTTTTAGAGATTACTTTCTGAATCAGACTTGAATTCTCTGAATGGAGAGCACAGTGGACTAGGGTCAATTTGAATTAGAACCGGCGCGGACCGATAACTTGTACCACGCTTAGTGACGTGCGGCATAGTGGCCCAACCTATGTTGATGTTGATGGCGCGGCCCAGACTTTTTACAGTACCCACCTATTTAACCTACCCCACTAGCTTAGTTTATACAGTACCCACCTACCCCACTAGCTTAGTTTATACAGTACCCACCTACCCCACTAGCTTAGTTTATACAGTACCCACCTACCCCACTAGCTTAGTTTATACAGTACCCACCTACCCCACTAGATTAGTTTATACAGTACCCACCTACCCCACTAGATTAGTTTAGTGTGAGAGTCACTTGACCTATTCAGTGTCTTTAAACATTAATAAAAAAGATAAAAGTTTTACAATTTTGTTACACTCTACAATAAAACAGGAAATACCTGTTAGGTTTGAGAACATCATCCCAGTCACAGGGATCCCGATCCAACGTTATTGCTCCTTCTCCACACTTAGAACACCGAACTCGAAGCTTTCCCGCCTACAAATATCCGATACAAATATTCGATACAAATATCCGATACAAATATCCGATACAAATATCCGATACAAATATCCGATACAAATATCCGATACAACGATACAAATATCCGATACAAATATCCGATACAAATATTCGATACAAATATCCGATACAAATCAAATTTTCAAATAATATTTATATCCAAAATAATATTTATATCCAAAATAATATTTATATCCAAAATAATATTTATATCCAAAAACTTTTAAAGAATTTGTTATTAAAGGGACTGTAGGCGTAGTGACCCTCAATACAAAGAGAACAATGCCTGATTCACAACGGTACCCTTGAAACCTTTCTATTAAATAATGTGGAAGATATTGTCTTTTTCTAGGTTTAACAGTTTTTCATTCTTATAATTCTTATATTGCTTTCCTGCAGGAAAACAGTCATTCTTGTAGAGAACTCACAATTAAAAATAATCGGTTTACAAAATTATAAATATTTATATCTAATTCATAATAGATCAGACAGAGCTTTTATGGGTACCATTGTGAGTTGGGCTTTGCCATCTCTGCATTACGCTTACAGTGTCTTTAACTTTTACCTGGAGAGAATTACAAGGGGAGTTGCACCAAACATAAAAATGCGCTTTTTTGGTTTCCCTTTGCTCAGCTGGAACAGTTTCTCTCTCCTCCGCGGTCAGCTGGAGGTCAATCAAACTCTCACAGAGGGGAGCCTCTCCGCTCTCATTCTCAACCTCTGATCCATCCTGTATAGTTTAATAAATATTAATTTTTACGGAAAAAACGTTTCTTTATTGCCAAATTTAATGACAAGTAGATACTTCTAGGTAACTGCATGAAGTAAATTATGTAGATGTATCCTAGCTACTATCCTGACTACATGAAGTATACTCTAGGTATACCTGAGTAGGTAGATGTATCCTAGCTACTATCCTGACTGCATGAAGTATACTCTGGTTTCCAAGATCACAAGAATCAACTGGAACACTGTCACTCAGCTCTTTGCCAGCAAATATAATTTTTATCTCCTCCTAAAACAAAGAAAAATCAGTTTATTCTTGACAAGAGCAGATTATAACAATGCTCAGAGATGGTTCAGAATATTGTGATGCTTGGAGATCCTTTTTTATTTGGATTTAACATTATACGATTCCTAGAGGATAAAAATATAAATTCCTTGCCTTACCGAAGAAAGGTTTAGTTTAGGAGATATGTGCACCTTGATCTACCGGTGGAAGGTTTAGTTTAGGAGACTATGGTCCTTGACTTAACGGATGAAGGTTTAGTTTAGGAGATATGATCTCCTTGACTTACCGGGAAAAAAATTAGTTTAGGAAATATGTTCTCCTTGACTTACCGGAGAAAGGTCTAGTTTAGGAGATATGATCTCTTTTACTTACCCGAGGAAGGTATGCTCCTTGACTTACCGGAGGAAGGTTTAGTTAAAGAGATATATATGATCTTTGACTTACCCGGGGAAGGTTTGAAAAGTTTAGGAGATATGTGTTCCTTGACTTACCGGAGGAAGGTTTCGTTTACGAGATTTAACTCCTTGACTTATCGGAGGAAGGTTTAGTTTAGGAGATATGTGTTTCTTGACTTACCGGAGGAAGGATTAGTTTAGGAGATAAGTGTTCCTTGACTTACCGGAGGAAGGTTTAGTTTAGGAGATATGTGTTCCTTGACTTACCGGAGGAAGGTTTAGTTTAGGAGATATTAACCTCCTTGACTTACGAGAGGAAGGCTTAGTTTAGGAGATTTTAACTTGACTTACCGGAGGAAGGTTTAGTTTAGGAGATTTTAACTTGACTTACCGGAGGAAGGTTTAGTTTAGGAGATTATGTTCCTTGACTTAACGGAGGAAGGTTTAGTTTTGGAGATATGATATGATCTCCTTGACTTACCGGAAAAAGAATTAGTTTAGGAAATATGTGCTCCTTGACTAACTGGAGAAAGGTTTAGTTTAGGAGATATATGCACCTTGACTTACCGGAGGAAGGTTTAGTTCAGGAGATATGTGTTCCTTGACTTACCGGAAGCAGGTACAGTTTAGGAGATATGTGTTACTTAACTTACCGGAGGCAGGTTTAGTTTAGGAGAATGTGTTACTTGACTTACCGGAGGAAGGTTTAGTTTATGAGATATGTGTTCCTTGACTTACCGGAGGCAGGTTCAGTTTAGGAGATATGTGTTCCTTGACTTGTCTAATTGTCCAGCCTTGCTGCAAGAATATGACAAGGCTTGATCCATTTATTGATTTTACAACAACCTAAACTAAAGAAATTTATTCCAAGATTAAAGGGAATGTTCAGATATCTAGGTTTTGTGGAAGGTACTAATTATTCCAAGTTTAAAGGGATTGTTCAGATATCTAGGTTTAGTGGAAGGTACTAATTATTCCAAGATTAAAGGGATTGTTCAGATATCTAGGTTTAGTGAAAGGTACTAATTATTCCAAGATTAAAGGGATTGTTCAGATATCTAGGTTTGTGGAAGGTACTAATTATTCCAAGAAAGGGATTGTTCAGATATCTAGGTTTGTGGAAGGTACTAATTATTCCAAGATTAAAGGGATTGTTCAGATATCTAGGTTTAGTGGAAGGTACTAAATATTCCAAGATTAAAGGGATTGTTCAGATATCTAGGTTTGTGGAAGGTACTAATTATTCCAAGTTTAAAGGGATTGTTCAGATATCTAGGTTTGTGGAAGGTACTAATTATTCCAAGTTTAAAGGGATTGTTCAGATATCTAGGTTTTGTGGTTCAGGTATTAAATTTAATAAAGAAGATTAGAACTATACCTATTTTTAATTATTATTTTAACTTAAAACCGTAATAATGAAAGAAAAAAATGATTTGTTTTAAAATTCGAAGAAAAAAATATTTCTTGCGTTAGTAAAAAAGTTTAATTTTGGATCTCATTTATAAATTGTGATCAAAGTAGTATTGAATATTTGCCGTAAAAAAATCAACTTTCAATTCAAGATATAGAACCCTGATCAATCATCATAGTTATTGCTTCTAAAACATCTAACATTATAATAAAAAGCCCAACAAACAAGCAACAACAATAACAATACAACAACAAAAACAAGAAAACAACAAAAACAATACAAACAACAACACACACAACAAGAACAGTACAAGAACTACAAAATTGAAATAATAACCTGTGTTCCATGAGTTAAAGCCCTCTGTCCTGAGATAAGACCGAGGAGGGTCAGCATCCTTTCCAGCAGGCTCAGGAACGGAGAGAAGATCCATCCCAGCATCAAGGACGGGTCATTTCTCTGAAAACAAAACAAAAACTAAATATCCATGTTTGCAACGCCCTGCGTCACTGTGTCTGTAGCGTCAGAATTCTCTGCGTCCAGCTGCTTAGAGTTGGAGTTAGATTGCGTAGGTTTAGCGATTCCATCATTCCTAAATAAAACATTGAAAAAACATAAAATACTAAAAAAACAGTTATTAAAATTTACAAGAATATTTACATAAAACCGTTTTCAGTTGAAAAAATTGGATCTTAAGAATATTTGGGTGCAAGATGTACTTTTTGAATTCAAGGGAAAAGTGTATCTTAGAAAACACTGTAGTGAAGGGAATTTAGGGGGAAACAAGGAGTATAGACTCCATAATCTTCAGGCAGCTTTTCATTAAAACCAAGAAAAAATCGATATTATTTTTTTTGTGTAAAATGGAGTACCAGTCAGTATAAGTATAAAATGGTAAGGCGGAACGAGTTTCTTGCTGAAAAAGGAGAGACGGAATCCAGAAATTAAAAAAATAGTTATTAAAAATCACCTTTTAAGATCTACAGCGCTTTTGTATGGAGGATTTATCGGAGACTGAGTTGGTGGTAAATACTTATACTCTTCACCCTCCCTTTACAATCAACATTCAGAAGTTTTCATCAGAGTCGGACACTCTTGAATTAATGGAACTTAGAAATGAACTGAACTCGGTCTCTCATACCTTGATCTCTTGACAGACCAATACCAAGACTTTATAAGTTCCGTTCTTTTAAAAGTTACCATCTCCAACTCGTAATTTTCGTAAATATTTATTTCCTGTTTAAAAATTTCCAATGGTTGAATGAAAATGATATTTTTGTTGATGATGTCCCTGATATCTAATCCGTAGGTTCTATCACTGTCATAAGCGGAGAGATCACCACAAGCAAGGAAGGGTACAATAACTCTAAATATTTAATATTAAAAATAATATCTTAAAATCGTTTATCGAATTCAGAGTTTTTTCGTCAATCTTGCAAATCTAACATTCAGCTAACAATTATCAATCATCATATCACGTGAATTTCCTATGGTTCATTTGGTGTACACTGTACAATCCCGTTTTGCCTGGTATAATCTGTACTGTACAGCTCACTCTAGCTGGTTAGATGTCGGCCCAGTTCATGAAATAAACAGGACTTAACAGTGATATCAAAAGATCAACAATCACAAAAGATCAATCATGAAATCAAAAGATCAATTATCAAATCAAAAGATCAATTATTGTATCAAAAAATCAATTATCAAATGAAAAGATCAATTATTAAATGAAAAAAATCAATCATTAAATTAAAAGATCAATTATTAAATTAAAAGATTAATTATTAAATAAAGAGATCAATTTTCATATCAGTAAATCAATTATCAAAAGTATTATATCAAAAGATCAATTGTCAAATCTCGAGATCAATTATAAAACAAAAGATCAATTATTATATCAAAAGATCAATTATTATATTATAAGATCAATTATCAAATTTCGAGATCAATTATCAAGTCTAGAGATAAATCAAATCTCGAGATCAATTATAAGATATAGATAACTTATTTAAAAGAGACTAATTAAAATGTCAACTCTAATATCTCAAGATCAATCAATAATTTAATAATTTCCTCCTTTGATTCTGCAGTAGAAATCCGCAATTCACTTTAACAGAAATACCCCGATAGAAAATAATTTATCTTTTAAGAGAAAAATATAGACAATATATTAATCAGACAAAGCTCTTCAAGGTACCGTTCTGAATCGGACATGTCGCTTTGTGAATAGCCTCATGAAATTACATCTACAATCCCTTTATGAGTTGACCTACCTGTTTACCCCTTCTAGCTGGTTGAAGTCAGTATAGGAATGATCAAGAAGAGGGTTCACCATGGTGGGGGTATATCCAGTAGGAGGACTTAAATATATCAGTAAAAGAAGTTCACAAAATTTATTAAAATACAAATTTGATTTTTTTGTGGGGGGGGGGCGGGGATGTTTTCATTATCTTTATCGCGTATATGCTCTTGGACGCCATTGAAGAAGCAATTTGGAACTTTTTGTGTTTCATAGGTTCACAACTTGATAAGAAAACATTAAATTGCAAAGACTCAAAAATGAGCCAACCTTGAAATTAATGGAAAAGTTTAAACAAAATTCTCAGAATGAAAAAGTTCAGTTAAGAGTTTATCTCTCTACCTGTAGTTTTGGCACACCACAAAAGCCTGAAATAATATTGTTGGTCATTTTAAAATACATTTCATTAATTTCCCCCTCCCCTTCATCTTAAAGAGTTTGTTTTATTCATGCCAAATATAAACGGTAAGAAATATTTTTGAATAAAAATGAAAAGCACAACTATATGTTCGAAATTATTTATAAGTTCAACCCTAGTCAAATTGAAATCCTCCCCTTCCTTCCTGAAAATATACATTTCAGACTACACTCCTACTGTAGGAAATAAACTTTTGAGTGGAGTATTAATAATCTTGAACGCTTGATCTCGATATCCGATGTGGGCACTCTTAAATTGGAGGATTAATGCTTAATTCCTCTATGTAAGTTATCCCTGCAGGATATGACCACCACGGGATATCGAAGAGGAATAAAATTAATCCGTAGGTCTGCATAGAATGGAGATCAACCATTTCATCATTTCTTAATCCCCAGATCTCATCTCGAATTTTCTCGTATATAATTTCAAGAAGGTTTGGTGCCCAAAACTTGACAACACAAAAATTCTGACATCAAGAAAAAAACAAAAGATTTTTTATACTGACCTCTATACTGGAGTTCCTGGAAGACCTTGGTTTAGAGATTGTTACAACAGGGAAGAATATCCTCAGCTGACTGTAGAGTAAACTTACGTCTTTACCCCTAGAATCAATTAATCAATTAATCAATTAATCAATCAATCAATTCATCCACAAACCAATCAACCATTCATTGATTTATAATTTACATACAATAATAAAAGTAATAAATAATAATGAACATAATAATAATTATATTGATAAAAATGATGATACTGATTATAATACTAATACTAATATTATTATTATTAATAAAAAATAATAATATGGGAAAAAAATGTTGATAAAAATGTATTGTGTATGTTTATTAAACTCATATAAAATAAACCTGAAAATTTTTGCCACAAAATTTCCACCCTTCCTTAGAACATGAGTTGTTATGTTCAGCGCAGCTAGAAGTAGTTGAGCTTGAATGTATTCGTCTGAAAACATCATAACATCATAATATTATCTTTTTTATTGAATTTTAAAAAAATTCTTTTATATTGCTTCTTGAAGTAATTACTCCTGACCTATATCATGAAGTCCTGTAACATCAGGAGCTCCGTCACAGACAACAAGGTCAGCCTCCTCCCCAGAGAAATGATCAACAATCTTGTTCGCTGTCGACAGTTTTGTAATATCACCCTTTAATATATCTTTACTATACAATACAACCCTTTTAATAGAGGACTTATCAATTTGTAAAATTAAATTAAATTTTCAGCGTCAAGTATAAAATGTCAGATTTACAGAGATTAGTCTTTCGTCTCTTGTGTCTAACTCTAGTTTTCCAGTGTCTAGTATCTACTATCTACTATCCATTATCTAGTCTAGTATGCAGAGTTTAGTGTCCATTATCTAGTCTAGTATACAGAGCTTAGTGTCCATTATCCAGTCTAGTATGCAGAGATTAGTGTCCATTATCTAGTCTAGTATGCAGAGTTTAGTGTCCATTATCCAGAGTTTTGATTCAATTATCTATTGTCCAATGTCCAGTGTCCAGATTCAATTATCTATTGTCCAATGTCCAGTGTCCAGAATTTAGTGTCTAGTTTACTTGTATTTGAATGACACCAGGCAGAGGCGCCATAGCTTGCAGGTCAACTGCTACAATCTTAACACTCTCCTTCTCCTCATCACTTTTCTAAAATAAAGTCAGAGGTAAAAACTTATGAATTTTAAATCGGTTTATGACGCACTCAATCGATCCCCCTCCTATTGGTGGTTTAATTTGAATCGTCAACCAAAGACATTCCTTTCTATTAATCAGGTTTTTAATTATTTTCCCGTACATCTCTGGGATTAAACTTAAATCCTTTAATTTCTAAGTGTACGCCGCGCTGTGGATATCATACTCAGTAGATGTAGCTAACCAAAATTTGTAGCCTTTGAGAAAGCATCTGCGAACAAACACATTGATTTTTTTCATTGACTTGAGACTTATATAGAAGATTTTGATTTAAGTAAAACCAAATGTTAAAAATCTAAAAAACGTTTTTCAACTAAGCTCACAACCGAGAACTACAGAGTTACCCATAAAGCATGATACTGCAAAGACGACCTGACACTCTTATAATATGACGAATGACGATTCGGAGGTTTAATTAAGTCTTCTTTGTGGGTAACCCTGTATCATATACAAATAAAATTCCTGAAACCTGAGCTCTGAGTTTCTTAGAAAGAACTTGACTCCAGGAACCGGGAGCAGCACACAAATCCACAACCTGAACTCGGAGAAGGGGTAAGATAAAGACCGGGAGTAAGATTAAATTAGATATTAACACAGAGATTTGAGAATGTACAAGAATTAGTTTATATTCAGAGTTGGGTTCAGTTGGATTTAGACAAAGATAAGGTTTAGATAAGATTAAAGAATCAACATATTGTAAGGTAACAATGAAGGGTTTAGTTTATAGTAAGTGAGATAATCTAAATTATTAAAGTAAGAAGGTTTAGTTTGGATAGACAGGTGTCGGGCATAGAGACAGGTTCGACTAGATTCAGAGAGATGAGGTGTCACTAGATTTGGAAAAAGGTAATTGTAAGGGTTGGTTAAAATGCTGAGGCGATTAAAATGTAAACAAAGTGTCAAGTTCAAAAAGATTTAGACCTGGAGGTTTTGCTTTTAGCGACTGAGAAAATTTTACGAAAAGTTGTTTGAAAAGTTTTTTTTCATTCAAAATGAAAATATTACTCTTTACCTTGGTGACACCTTCGAAAATATTGAATTCGTCATTAATCTGCATCAGCTTAAAAGCGCTTCGCGCCCTCCAGCCCTCCTCTTTCGCCAACCTGGATTGTTTATATATAAAAATTATGTATCAATCATTAAAACAGGACTTTGAAATATCTCCGGACCCTTAATTTGAACTTAGCAACCCCATTTACTTTTTGTAGCTTTAAGTATGAAGATTTCAAAACTGTAAAGAGTTTTTTTCAATCCTGAAAGATGTTCGCACCAGAAATATGAAGATATCAGTTATGAGTGAAGTATTGCTGACAAAAACATTTTCGGCTTTACAGACTCGTGCATTATAATGTACAGAAAGGCAAGAAAATGGACGATTTTGTTAAAAAATGACGAGTTTGTATCTAAGTATCAGAAAAAGGTAGAGTGTACCGTCGGGAGCAGTTCATCAAGGGTCATTTACGTTTACAATATTTTCATATGAATTAATAAACAAAATAATCGACTAGTGGCGTCATTTGTTTTTTTCCAACCTGTAGTAAACATCCCGCTTATCTTTAGACGATCTACCCATTATTCTTAAAATCTGAAACTATTCTATATATATTTATAATCATGTTGCTAACAATATTATCATATTTTAATCAAAAACTGATAAATATTAAATAGTAAATAAACTAACTGCTGAAGAATAAAAACAAAGTGAAAGTATAATGAAGGGACTGTTCATTAAATTTCAAGGGAGGTCGTAATTTCAGAATAAAGATAGTAATAGGACAAAATGGATATTGATACAGTGATAACCAGAAAACAATGGAGTAGGAAGACGACATAAAGCAACCCTCAATTTATTTCATGTTGTTACAAAGCAAATAGTCTTACTAGACCCTTATAAAATCCCTTATTTGGTGAATGAGTCTGCTTACACTGCACAATGGCTGTAACTCATGCTTATTGGGCTTTTAAAGTTGTAACTTGGTTCCAAAAGTCGTCTTTATATTTTAGAGTTTCGTGGTTATCACTGTAAAATGATATTGAAGAAAATATGTAAATAAGGATGAACGGAGAGTTGAAACTGAAGAAGATGTCCCGGACAAGAATTGATATCTATACATTCATCAGTCATCACAGTCGGATTAGAGTAGTTTAGACCAGAGCGGTCTCGTGGTTTTTAAAAACCAGAAAACTGCAGCGTTTCCTGTCTTGCCTTTAGACTGGAGAAATTTGTACTGCGCCTGAAAATATCGCATTTAATTATTAGTTAAGTTTAGTATTTAATGGAGTTTTCTTGTCAAAAATAAGTATCTTCTTAAAGAATGAAAGGGGGTTTATAGACTGAAAGCCCTTGATCGCGACCCATGAAAGTAATATCTGATGTTCCTGTCTTGAGAAATTAATATATAACTGTGGCGAATTTATACAAAAATTCATATCTATACAATTTTGTATAGAAATAGTAGGTTTAAACAGCTCATATTCAGCAAATACGCAACCAATCTGAAAACGAAGATATCCCAGAGAAACCTAATTGTAACTTAAGTTTTCTCCAATTATTAATTTATAATTTTTATTTTTACTTTTTAATAAACATAATTGATAATATTATTTTTAAGTCCGTATTACGTCACCAGAACTCCCAAAAATGGTAGTGCAGTATAGTGGTCACGTGTCTCTGTCTGTATCACGTGACCAGTATACTGCTGTCTGTATCACGTGACCAGTATACTGCAAGTAAGTGTGCAAAACTTACAAATTTCCTTTAATTGCACTATTATAAAAATCCGCAAGTTACATAATTAGAAAAAAAATTATTTTCAGTTAGAAAAAAAGGATTTCTCATTCATACTTATGGTGTCGTTGTGAATCGATATTCTTCCATGTTACTTCATCAAATAAACGCAGTTATACAATTTGAATCCTATTAGTCATAAACAATCCTGTTTTTTGCAAGTTAATTCAAGAAAATTAAAATGCTAAAGAAAAACATTTGTACTTACATTAAGAAAAGGATAGGCAAGGAACGCATCTGCTAATCTCACAGATTCCTCTTCGTTTACTCTTTTATATTCGTCAACACTTCCTCCTCCGGGGATACTTTTCATTCGTCTCTCCTGCACCCACTTCTCAGCAACCTCCTGAACACTTATGGTTCAGATACTTATCAGGGTTCAGATACTACTCAGGGTTCAGATACTACTCAGAGTTCAGCTATTGTTTAAATACTATAATCAGAGGTTCAGATACCACTCAGGGTTCAGATAATAATCATGGTTTACATGCTTATCAGGGTTCACATATTAACCAGGATTCAGATACTACTCAGACTTTAAATATTAATCAGGGTTCAGCTACTTTTTAGGGTTTGATATTTACACAGGTTCAGATACTTCTCAGGGTTATATGTTTACGCTGGTTCAGATACTTTTCAAGGTTTAATTTTACACGGGTTCAGATACTTTTCAGGGCTTAAAATTTCTCAGAGTTTGATATTTAAACAGATTAAATATTTCTCATGGTCTAATGTTTCTTAAAGGCTGAGAAAGTTTAACGTGGATCGAACCATGAACATTGTCCATTGTGAGTTTAATTTATTCAAAAAAAATTTTCTTCAAGTAATATTTTCAAAATTGTTAAAATTCCTTAATTCAATTTTGAATAGCCTATGACATTCAACAAATTAATCCATTAAGCTAAGTTTAAGCTAAGGCCCCTCCAATTTGGGTAACCAAAGGTCTTATTTCATAAAAAGCCAGAATTAGTGAATTAGATAAAGCTAGTTCAACTCATTCCTGGTGCGGCCAGGAGTCCATTAGAGAAATAGTTTAACTAGCCATACATATTACATAGTTCAACAACTATTCCGTTAATTCAAATTTAATTCCAATTTAATTCCAATCAAATTCCAATAAAATTCCAATTAAATTCCAATTAAATTGCATTTTAATTCCATTTTAATTCCAATTAAATTCCAATAAAATTCCAATAAAATTCCAATAAAATTCCAATAAAATTCCAATTTAATTCCAATTTAATTCCAATTTAATTCCAATTTAATTCCAATTCAATTCCAATTCAATTCCAATTCAATTCCAATTTAATTCCAATTTAATTCCAATTTAATTCCAATTGATTACAAGTATTAGATAAAAACCTGAGCGCGTTTCATTAATTTTTCATGAGGAACAACTTCCATTGCCATTCCAATAGCAGCAGCTTCAGTTCCTATATATATATAAAAAAATAAAGACGACCTTTTCAACCAATAAATAATTTTTTTCTTTCAATTTTACGATATCATAAACATCATTCTTAAAATCAACTTTTACAAAGGGAATTAATACTTCAAACGATTTGCGATTGTGGGGTATCTTTTTGGTTTAATTCGAAGATCGTTATTATGAAAATTAAACATCCCTTGCAATTATTATCATTATTATTATTTTAATTATAGTATCATGTTCTGGAGGCTATGTTACGTTGAGCTCCTGGTCTGTGGCCACTTACCCTGTATGTTTGGGTTTTAGTGAATCATATCTGACGGTGAATATTTTTAGGATTCAGTGTGTAAGCGTAAGCGGTGAATATTTTTAGGATTCAGTGTGTATACGTAAGAAGTAAATATTTTTAGGATTCAGTGTGTAAGCGGAAGTGGTGAATATTTTTAGGATTCAGGGTGTAAGCGTAAGCGGTAAATATTTTTAGGATTCAGTGTGTAAGCGTAAGCGGTGAATATTTTTAGGATTCAGTGTGTAAGCATAAGCGGTGAATATTTTTAGGATTCAGTGTGTATGCGTAAGGGGTGAATATTTTTAGGATTCAGTGTGTAAGCGTAAACCAGATATGTAAGAAGTCATAGAAATTTAACAGTACACACACTGAGAAAAAAAGAGTGAAGGGGGGAGAGTATTTTTCCAGACAGCCATGAATATATAATAACATTACTAGTTAGTCTAATAGTCAACCACCATTCTGTAGAAATCAAGCCAAAGCATCAAATCCATCTCTTCTATTTGTTTTGATATGCAAGTATTTTAAATGTAGTATTTGGCTCTGTTATTTTTATGGAAATGCCTGACGTTGCCCGTGGAACTTTAAAAAATCTTACAACACTCCACGAAAAACGTGAAAAATTAGATTTTTATTTTTGTTTCATGCTATTTTGATACTGGTTGATATATGTGATTGACCTGTAGGTTTCCATCCATCATTGAGTAATCTACTCGCAACTTCCTTTCCCAGCATCCTCTAAGGTAACAAGTTACATGATAAAGATATAAAACTACCCCCCCCCCCCCCCCAGCTATAAGACGACGAAAGTCCTCCAATATCAAGTCCTATTTAAAAGCCCCCTTCCCCGTTAAAAAAAGTAAATATTATCTTGTAACCCTGAATTCTAATTTATTTGATTGTCTTATGTAAAAATGGAAACAAATATAAATTAAACCCAGGGCTAAGAAGATAATTTGATGAATGTTTGAACAAGATGCAAATTTTCCTCGAAATGAATGCTGGAACACCCCTCAGGAGGAATCCCAAGAGCAGCGAAAGGAACATTAAATGTAGCTTTCTCAGACGCAATTATTCCGTCACAAAGTGTAGCCGATGTTACGCAGGCGCCAATAGCAGGACCGTTGGCTGCTATAAGGATCGGCTAAAAGTATGATCAAATTAATTCTACGCTATTTCAGATCTTTTTATATTTTTTTGGCCGAATTTTTGTTTCCACCAATTCTAAAATCTAATTGCAAGCGTTTTCAAATAATAAAAAAAATCCAAACCTTAGGAAAATCTAGAAATGCATCAAAAAGTGCTTTATTGTTTGAATATATGAGAGAATGCAATTTCTTGGGGTGCATTGGTTTCATTGTTGCACTCAGGTTCACACCTAAACAATATAATACAGCCAAACCAAACCATACCATTACAAAAAAAAATTCAATACTAACTATTTAGCAACATCCCATCCCATAAATCAATCCCCAAAAACTATCCTCCGCAATTTTAAAACGTTCCAATCCCTTCCTGTTCCATCCCATTCAGGCTCATTCCCATTCTTATTTCAGTCCATCCCATGATCTCAACCCGTTCCATTCCATTCCCATTCTGTAAAATGTACCTGCACAATAGTAAGGATCAGTTCCCGTTAATACAAGAACCTAAAAATATATTACTTTTATTTTAACTTCTACCTTCTTTAATGATAAGATTATATATAAGTACTTAACTCAGAATGGGCTCAAGCTTAGGATGAAATAAGGTGACGCCTTAAAGTACACGTGACCAAAATCAACATTTCAGCATTAAAAAAGAATTTTACAAATCAGAAAAATCCATTGAACTAACAATTTCTTAATAGAAAATTTGATTCTACTTCCCGTAAATAGAAGAAAGGTTGATTTGAGTGATAACAATTGAAATTGAATAGATTAGAAAAAGCAATTTAATACCCCATCCCTCAAATATAAATTTTCCCTTGATCCCTGACTCAGCTAACCTTGGTTAGGTCGTCTGCCGCATGTTTATCAAAAAGATGGCGGAGCGTGATCATCATTGGTCCGGACCATCCGTTCAACTTCTTCGGGTCATTCATCGTCAACGTCGTCACAGAGTTCTTGGTCGAGCTCAGGATCAACTTCATGTTCACCTGCACCAGGATTGTTATAAATTTCAAGGACATCAATTTTAGATTTAAGGTCTCCAAACTTTTTTTCATTTAAATTTTTCCTTTCTGAAAACACTCAAGATTCACAATATTAAAATGATGTTTTTAGGATAAGTTTGTTTGAGGAGCTTAATTTCATTTCATATTTCAACAAATGAGTTTTCAAGGATTTTCCGACATTTAATGTCAATTGAAAGTTTTCACGGATATTATTAAGAGATATTCTACCTGTCCTAGCTCCGATCCTGAGAACTGTACTGGAGACGAATGGAACCCAGCTCTGCAGGACATTATCCGTCCAACCTGCCATTGTAGAACTTTAACTCCGTTCATCTGAAAGGTTCAGAGCAAATGAGACAGTTGTCGATCTCGGAGAAATTTATCCGTCTCTGGATCAGATGTGGTGAGGGTCCGGAGAAAGGTTTGTTTCTCCTGGTCGTTCCAAGATCTGTACCAGGATTTAAAGAGACGTAGTTGACAAGAGAACAACTGGTGTCCATCCCCTGAAATATATAATCTTTAACATTATCAATGAAATCATTATTGTCCCGGGTTACCACTTTATTGTCCCGGGTTACCACTTTATTGTCCCGAGTTACCACTTTATTGTCCCGGGTTACCACTTTATTGTCACGGGTTACCACTTTATTGTCCCCAATAATTTTTTTAAACTTCAGTGATCAGAAAAGGCATTAAATCACCTTACGAGACCTTAAAATATGAATTTCGAGTTCTGTTTGTTGTATAAATTATCTGAGAGATGAATGAACTAATGTAAGAAGTATCAAAAGTAGACATTGAAATAAGATTGAAAAACTAAATAACCTGCTAAATTCATATTCTCAAGACTAAACATAACTTCATCCTCTCCTCCTCCATACACCAGCTGTTCAACTAGAACCTAGAGAATTCATATTCTTTGAAATAATATTTTTGCGTATCTCTTTTTTGAAATACAAGTGCATTTTTAAAGAAAAAAAAAATAGAACTGTTTAGCCTATGTCCCCCCCCCCCCATGAGTTTCCTCATAAAAATGTCACAAATGAGAGAAAATCTTTATTATAAAGATAGATAAATTCCCGAAGTTAAGTGAGGGAAAATTGAAAATGGTTCTTAAATCTAAAAGCTTTTTAACACGAGGCCGGATTTATTGGATAGCGAAAATATACTGGAGATAGTTCAACTAGCCATATTTAATTCAACTACTTAATTAATCAAATCCTACCTCTGTTTTACAATTTAAAAAAAAAAAATTATGTAGAACGGATCTTAGTTTATAGACCTGATCAAATTTGTTGTCCAGAACAGATTTCAGGTTTATTCAGACCTTTCAAAATTATTTATCTATCCCAAGTTTAGACCTGGTTAAATTTATTTATCTGGGACGGATCCCAAGTTTACAGACCTGGTTAAACTTTTTTATCTGGGACGGATCCCAAGTTTACAGACATGGTTAAATTTATTTATCTGGGACGGATCCCAAGTTTACAGACATGGTAAAATTTAATTATCTAGGACGGATCCCAAGTTTACAGACATGGTTAAATTTATTTATCTAGGACGGATCCCAAGTTCAGACCTGATTAAATTCATTTATCTGGGACGGATCCCAAGTTAACGGACCTGATTAAATTTATTTATCTGGAACGGATCCCAAGTTTACAGACTTGGTTAAATTTATTTATCTGTGACGGATCCCAAGTTTACAGACATGGTTAAATTTATTTATCTGTGACGGATGCCAAGTTTACAGACCTGATTAAATTTATTTTTCTGGGACGGATCCCAAGTTTACAGACCTGATTAAATTTATTTATCTGTGACGGATCCCAAGTTTACAGACCTGATTAAATTTATTTATCTGGGACGGATCCCAAGTTTACAGACCTGGTTAAATTTATTTATCTGTGACGGATCCCAAGTTTACAGACCTGGTTAAATTTATTTTTATCTAAGATGGATCCCAAGTTTACAGACCTGATTAAATTTGTTTATCTGGGACGGATCCCAAGTTTACAGACCTGGTTAAATTTGTTTATCTGGGACGGATCCCAAGTTTACAGACCTGGTTAAATTTGTTTATCTCACTGGGACGGATCCCAAGTTCACAGACCTGATTAAATTTATTTATCTAGGACGGATCCCAAGTTTATAGACCTGGTTAAATTTATTTATCTAGGACGGATCCCAAGTTTACACACCTGGTTAAATTTATTTATCTGGGACGGATCCCAAGTTTACAGACCTGATTAAATTTATTTATCTGGGACGGATCCCAAGTTTACAGACCTGATTAAATTTATTTATCTGGGACGGATCCCAATTCTCTCTCCAGGAAAGGATACACATCTGCTGGGTTCCGCTTTTACCAAAGTGAAATGTCATTTTCTTTGGTTTCCTCAGATTGACGTGGAATTTTAAAAAATTCGATCCGACCTGATCACGCAGATTTCAAGAAATTCGATCCGACCTGATCACGCAGATTTCAAGAAATTCGATCCGACCTGATCACGCAGATTTCAAAAAATTCAATCCGACCTGATCACGCAGATTTCAAGAAAATTCTTATTTAAATATTATTTTAACACAGATTCTTGGAATAAATGCACTTTGTGTCACAAGCTATTATTTCTGTTTAATATTTGTTCTTGATTAAAGTTCATTTAAATGCAGTTTCTTTTCCTTCAAATGCATAATATATTATTATTCAAGTTTAACATGTTTAGTGAAACTCCAGACATTATGTTATTCATGTCTATCACTTCATTATCTCTACTCTGTCCATTTTTAATCTGAAAGGATTGAATAATCTTTTAATTATAAAAAATACATGATCACAATTGTATGTTGGCAATGGGTTTTAAGATTACATTTTCAATACTAAAAATAATATTTTTTTTGATGTTTTATTACACCAAAACAGTATCATAAAGTTTCTAATTCCTATTCGAGAAGTTGACTTACTTTTTCACCAAAATAGTACTTGTCTCAAGAGTGCTGATAAGTTACATTTCAATTACGTACAAAAAAAAAGTTTATTACTTTAAATGTTGTTATCCAACGATACATATCGGTGTTTGAAGGGTCTAGCATTGTTTTATGGGCAAAAAACTATGCTAGAAACTACCTTTTTAAAATGAAGCAAAAATGCTATAAAGAGATTTTGTTATTTTAAGCATTACATGACAATATTGTTAAGAATATAGAACGCTTCGTTATCTCCCCCGAACAGAACTGAATGACCAAGAACATCAACGCTGTTGATTGGCAGTGGTTGCTTAGATACCAGGCTTGTTGTCTCAACCTAGACAAATAGATCTTAAATATTGAACAATTCAAAATAATATTTTATAAGACTAAGGGGGATAAATGTATAATCTACCCCCCCCCCCCCTTCAAAAACAGTTTGTTTTTTAAAATCTAGCAGAAAAAAACCTTAAAATCCATGATTTTATTTGGAACAAACCATTTGAAAAGTAAGATTTTGATTAAAAGTTCTTAAATGAAAAAAGGAGTAAAAAAGGGAAAAAGGGGGAAAACGGGGAAAAAAGAAAATAGGCTATAATTACAAATTCAAGTGCTCGAGAAGATCAAAATTCAGAATAAGATACTGAAAGCTTTGATTCTCAATACCTTATGTCTGACAGCCTCACTAGAGAGCCAGGGTGAGGTCGAATTGAGGTTCTCGAGGCTGTTGTTCATGGAGAGGTTTCCTCCGGAGCTCTTTATACTTCCGCCATTCCAGTGCCAGAGTTCTCCACCCTAGAGGAGAAATAATAATAATAGTAATAAATACAGGCAAGGACTACACTAAGACAAACGAAAAAAATTGGACTAAGAAAAATGACTCAGACAAAGGACCATACAACGGACTAAGAAAAAGGACTGAGACAGAGGACCAAGACATCGGATAAGAAAAGGACAAAGACAAAAGATCAAGACAAAAGATCAAGACAAAGGATCAACAACGGACTAAGCCAAAGGTACAAGACAAAGAATTAGCAACGGACTAAGACAATGGACCAAGACAAAGGACCAAAACAAAGGGTCAAGACAAAAGATCAAGACAAAAGATCAAGACAAAAGATCAAGAGTCAAGACAAAATCAAGACAAAAAGGTCAAGACAAAGGATCAAGACAAAGGATCAATACAAAGGATCAAGATAAAAAGATCAAGACAAAAGATCAAGACAAAGGATCAAGAAAAATGATGAAGACAAAGGACTAAGACAAATGCTAAGAACAAGAACAAATATCCCCCCCCCCTCCCCAGACAAAAAATTGGCAAATGTTAGTCAGTTAGACTGTGAACTGTGAAGATATGTTTGATAAAAAAAAGAAAATAATAATCAACAAAATTCAGAATGAATGATACTAAAAATAATAATAATACCTGAGAGCATGTGAAGATATGATCTGGTTGGTCAGGGTGGAATTTAACCTCACTCACTGGAGCCTTAACAATGTGCATTAGGTAGGAACTTAAACTTGTATATTCTACACGTGAAAGAAACTGATTTTTTGATATTTAGAAAAGGTAAATGTGGTTTTAAAGTTAAACTTATTTTAAATTGTTAATCCTTTGTAAAGTAAAAAAACGAAATAAAGTTTTAAAGAGAAGCAGGATTGGTAAACGTAAAGGTTTCTTAAAAATTAGTAATATCCCCTCTCCAACATTGCTGTCATTAAATATTAAATATTTATGTTTATGTCAGGACTCCTGGCGGAGTATATAAGAAAATTTCCGATTGTTGTCATGATATTCATAAGGGTGCATATATCACATTAATATACAGAGTATATTATATTCAATATTTACGAATATCCAGTGAATCAAGATTAAAAATAAGGGACATTTATTTCTTTTTATGGTAGAGTTTTTATTTTTTTCTCTTCCTTGACATTTTTTCTTTTTTTTTCATTTTTCGACTTGTTTTTTAAAAAATTTTCTTAGATTATTTTTTTTTCTTATTTGGCCTTTCTGTTTTCTTTTAAAGTAATCTTTTTTTGGCTCTTTTTGTCCCAACAAAAGAAACTAGATTAGAAGGTCTTTACATATTTATCACATAAAATAATAGATCTAAGCACTTTCAAGGTAAATAATCCAGAGCTGGGAACTTTTAAATTGACTAATTTAAATCAATTTTAATAATTTATAATAAAAAGTTCAACTGAACAACTTTCTCGCTTTAGAGACTTAACCCCATAAGTTAAACCTTAAAATCCAAAAAATTCAAATTTTTTAGTTAGCCACTGGAAGTACTGGCGTTTAACTTAATTTACTCCAAAAGTTTCCATCTCTGAATATCATTAATAAAATAAACCTTGTGGGCTGAGAGCAGGGTGACCGGGTGCTGACCCTGCCTGAGATCCCAGACCGCTAGGAACCCGTTCTCTCCTCCAGAAATTACAATGTGTCCCTGAACATCAGCGGTTCAGACAGGCAGGGAAAAATGTTTTTTTTTTTTGTAAAAAAATATATAGAAATGAGATTTTTTCCTTAAAATATTACTTAGTTTAAATCCAGAGTGACACCGGAAAATGTATTATTTATCTATTTTTCAAATTTCCCAAAAAATTAAATTTTGTATTAAAAAAAAATAAAAATGTAAGTTCAAGAAATTTGTTTATTTAAAAACAAAGAATTTCTTTAATGAATAAAGAAACTGACCTGAGAAGGATGTTTAGCAAGACACGTGACTGCTACTTGATCATTAGATAGAAGGAAGGTGGAGGACGGAGTCTGTTGGTTTGCTCTGCTCAGGGTTCACAGGGTTACACAGGAGATTAACAAGTAACATGGGTCAGATAAAGCTACGTAAAAACTGAGGGAAATCGTATTAAAACTTTTTAAACTCGAAATAGGTTGTAATCTATTAACACATAAGAGCATTTGAAAATATTAAGAAAATCTAAAAACATGTAAGATCTTCTGAAAACTTGAAACCGTTGTGAGCTCTCCCTGAGATCGAATAGTTTAAGCTGTCCCCTCATATTAGAGGAGAGAAGGTCGGAACCACGGGAGAAGATGAGATCAGTCATAGAACAGCTGTCAGCGTTATCGTATACCTAGAGATTGAGAGAATTTAACCATTAAATTTATTCTAAACTAGCTTGAGAACTCCAGTTACTCCAGCCGCTTACCCGCACTTGGTCAATCTTACCGGGGAACTAAATTTTCGCTATAGAAATCGACCCACTCAACATAGAATCTCAAAATCGAGCCAAGAAAACAATCCCGTGGCTTCCCCAAGTTCCCAAATCATAATTTGTTGCAAATCGGTCAAGGGGTTCCAGAGTTATGATCAGACAAACAGCAATTACAACTTTACATACAAAGATGAATTCGATTGATTTTAAATCTTACTTTCACTGGTGCTCTTTGTCGTATATTGAGAACATTTATCCGTCCGTCCTGTCCTGCCGTAGCTACAGATTCACCATGAGAACTGAGACAGGTGGCTCCTCCGTCCCGGTGTAGGTTAGACCAGTCCTGGCTCAGTGTTAGGATTCTAAACAGGTTGACGGAAAATATTTACATGATCTGAGGGGTTTATATATATGTTTGTTAAGGGTTTTTTTAAGATTTTTTCTCGCTGAATTTGGACAAAAAAATTATTTTGAGGGGAAAATATTTAAATTGTTGGTTAAAGGGTATTAAACAGAATAAAGATATTTGCTTTTTGAAGTCCAATTTTTTATTACACTGAAAGCTATTCACCCCTGCATGATCTATTATATGTTATATTTACATACTTAAGGAGTTTTAGGACAATTTTGTTTCATTTTATTTTTTGTTTTTCTTACTTGTACTGTTCCAAGGTATAAAGGTTGAGTGACCCGGTACTGGAACTAGTGACGAGTAGATCAGGAGATATCCAGTTCAAACCAGTTACATCACCTAGATATATACTGTACAGTGTACATATACTTTAGATATATTTAGTTCAAACCAGTTACATCACCTAGATATATTCTGTACAGTGTACATATACTTTAGATATATCCAGTTCAAACCAGTTACATCACCTAGATATATACTGGGCAGTGTACATATACTTTAGATATATCCAGTTCAAACCAGTTACATCACCTAAATATATACAATACATTGTACATTTACTCTAGATATATCCAATTCAAACTAGTTATATCACCAAAATATATCCTGTACAGTGTACATACCCTAGATATATCCAGTTCAATCCAGTTACATCACCTAGATATAAAATGTACAGTCTCTAAATGTATATATTATCAAAGGATAACCAGTTCAATCATGTACGAGATGTACATAAATATACTCAAGATATATCCAATTTAATCTAGTCACCAACTGTACAGTGTATAAACTCAAGATATTACTAGAAATCTACTAACAATTCTGCTGTACTAATACTAAGAGTACTGTTCATTGTACGGGATAAATCAACTAACCATATGATTATGCAGTACTGTACAGTGTTAACTACAGTGTACGAAATAAATCTACTAACCAGGATGCTGCACAGATGCTAGAAGTACTGTACTTGAACCCTCCTCTCCCTCCTCATGCTTCCACAAGGAAACCTATTTACAATATTAGATTAACTAAACTAAAATATAGAATAAGAAATTAAGATCGTAGAGGAAACCCGACATGGAACCCTCAGACCGCCTGCAATCTGCATATTATGTACCATGTACATTGTACAATGTACGTACATAATCGTTAGACTCTTGTCAAATGGGATATGAATGAATTAGAGTTTTCAGCTGAAAAGCTGGAATTAAGAGTTTCAGGGAGTATTTTTTTTTGGAAAATAAAAACTATTTTTGACTCTAATCTTTTTAAATTGTAATTGCATGAAGATAAAAAAGTTCTTTTTCATTTTCAATCAGAGATTTTAATTCCTCCAGAAATATTGCACATTCTAAACGTTGGGAGAATGGAAATTGAGAAACTAAGAGATGGACACCCCTTGTATCCCAACCTGTTAGCAATCCCCTGAGATATCGAGATAAAATCCCAAGCTACGAACAATCATTTTCCGGCAGAATTTCAACATATTAATGCAAAATTACCAGCGTAATGTATCCAAGTAATTACCAGCGTAATGTATCCAAGTAATTACCAGCGTAATGTATCCAAGTAATTTCTTTATATCATACTATTTTTTTGGGGGTTAAAAATTGACACGAGAAAAATATCATTAGAATCCGCAGTCCAATACTTGGTAAAACATGCGCAAAAAGATGAAGAGAGGTTCGGTTTACCTCGTTCGACTCATCATCCCAGGATCCTGTAGCGAACATGTTCGAGTTCATCTGCATCGAGTCCTGTCGGGGCCTCCAACGAACCTTTCGAACCTTCTTAGAGACGAACTTACTTGTCCCGCTGGCTACAGACATTTTCATCTGAAATACGGAGGAAATCGTGGTTTCAATATATTTTTATAATATGCTAGGTACAAAAAAAAACAGTGATGAAAGGTTTTTAAAGTTCAAGATTTATTTTATAAATAATATTAGTCTCTGAAGAGTCTTTAACACAATTTTTATACATCCTTTCCTTCATTTTGGCGTAATGATAGTCAATTATTAGAAAATGTGCAAACTTTCGTTTAATTCTGTAAAGCAGGAAAAAAATAATTTCAAACAATGATAAAAAGATTAAAATAGGGTCGAAGTTAAAATTTACAGAGATTTTTAAATATCCGATATAATATTTTTGATTTTATCATTTCCACTTTCACAATTTTAAAACTAATTCAGGACTCCAATTTTTAAATTTAATTCAAAGAACTTTTGGGGCCTAAACCCGATTTTCACTGTTTTATTTGGGTCACCCTATAAATAATTAAAATAATTGATTTAAAAATCCTAACGACATGTTAGTACATTATACAACGCAGCACACTCAACATACAAATGTATTTTAACCACTGCATTTCTTTATTCAATATTAGTAAACAAATATTTAAATAATTCCCGCCATTTTTATAAATTTAATCATTAATCATCATGACTACGATAGATCACATTAATCATTAAACTATTACACAATTTTTGCAAAATAAATAAAATACATTTGAGAAACTAGGTTTTAGTTCATATGAGAAAGGGAGCAGGGAGATTTTAATTTTATACTCAAAAAGTGTATACCCCCCCTTTCTCTCTCTCTTTTTCTAAAAAGAATACATTTGTATTAAAGTACTAAAAAGCCAAATATGAAAGAATGGAATGTATTTAAAACACCAGGGATGAAAACAACAAATTGTTTATAATGAAGCAAAAGTTAAGGCTTGGTAAAACTTTGCATGGATTTTATATTTAAACGAAATCAAGAAACAAATATTAATATTTAGAATTAAAGAGACTGTAGACAAAATTTAAAGTAACTTTCCATTTATAGAGTGCCATGTACGGTTTTCTTTGTAAAAATTGAAAATTTTGAATTGAGTTTTCTCTTTAAAGTGACTTAAGCAATTCTGCTCAGACAAAATTAGGGAAAACCATCAGGATTAAACAGGATTAAACAGGATTAAACAGCAAGAAAAATGGCGATATCTTTCAGAAAAAGGGTTAAAGGTTTACGTGTGGGCATGCCCCAGGCCCCTTTTAAAAATGGAGGATCACTTCAATTAACAACAACAGCCCCTTTAATGGATAAAAAGCTGCATCGAGTTGGTTTACAGAATATTAAAAAACACGAATTAAAAAGTATTAAAAAGTGGTTTATACATAAAATCTTATAAAAAGGGGCGGCGGAGGGCATCAAAATACATAATACTCGGAACAATAAAATATAGTTTATAAATAAAAACATGTAAGTCTAACCTACTTCATATTGATAAAATTAGCAAATCTTTTCATTTTTAATTAAAAATATTAAAAATTGACCCCCTGTGTAACCCTTTAATGACCCTTTAAAGACCCTTTAAAGACCTACTCCATTTAAAGTATGACTAAATCTGAATAAGTTCTTTTTTAAAAATATACTGCTTTTACACTTGAATAAATCTCTCTCTCTATTCTATCCAGGAAACTCTCAAGTGAAAATAAACCCTTTTCATATAGAATCAATTCTCTAAACTAAATCTTCTAAAACTCTGTCTTAAACTTATCAAGAAAAATACCTTGAAACATATATTGCAGATATGGTAGAGACAAGACTACAGGCAAAACTAGGCACTTATAAAGCGTTGCTAACCCTTTTTATACCCAGCAAGCGCAGCCTAGCTGAGCAAGCCTGTTTTGTAGAAAAAGGGTTTTCAACATAAAAAGAAATAATCTGCTGCACCCCCTAAAAAATAAATGCTCTCTCCAAATTTAAACAAATTAATTTTTATCGTAATTCAGAACTTCTTTTGACAGGAATTGGTCTCAGGAATATCTGGGTAAATAGTCTTATCAAAGATATTTGATTGAATTGGACAACTCGAGGAATCAATTCTCTGGGTTCAAATGAGTCCTTACTCAACGTCACCATGGAGTCTTGATCCGTTTCGCATACTGAGTTCTGAGTCATGTAATAGAGTCCTGACTCCGGGTTCTCATTGAGTCCTGAGCTGATAGTCTCCGTTCTGTGTGATATACCGAACCCAGGGAAGAGCTTGGTATCCTGACTTCTCAATGATCTTCAAGTATCGAACCTAAGAAAAACATAATTATTAATTTAGTGCTATTATAAATTATAATAGATACAGGGTTTCTTGATAAATAAGAGAATAGGTAAAAATGATGAATGCGGATGAATAGATGGATATAGGAATGAAAGAATGAATGAATGAATGAATGAAAGGGTGAATGAATAAATGACCTGTATCCCGGAAGTGGTAAAGTATGGAATCTCAAATTTAACGCTGATTGGAGGTTTTCCCTCGTTCAAGTCACTCACAACACTGGGTAAACCGAAATGCGCCTAGGACAAGGATATTGTTTAATTATTTTACAATTTAAAGGGACTGTCGTTGTAATTTCATGTGACCCTCTATATAAAGAGGTCCATGCCCCTTAAATTATTAAGTACAATGCGTACTGAAATCGATCAATCTACAGTGGTAACCAGAATACAGTGAAACGATTGTTGTCTTCATTCTTTCTTTTTATTGTTAAATGTCAAAAACTCTTGTAATTTGTAACTGATGTGTTTAAAAATGTACATTTTAGACATATCAGACAATGTTTAATTTGAAGGAAAGACGGAAGACTAAAATTATTCCACTGTTACGATTACCAGTGTAGAATCTGTTTATAAAATGTTTAAGATGTTACCTTCATGAGATATTCCTTCCCGCCTGGGAATGATTTGATTGTCCAGACCACAGCATTCTGCTCAGGAGCATATTTACAATGTCCTAAAACAATCAATAAATCAATCAATCAATCAATATTCGAATCGATCAATTCAACCAACAAAGACATCCAATCCTTCCTTTATCTTATTTTATCCTTACAATCCAAAAACTCAATCATTTAATAGATTTTAATAAATCTATTAATCAATCAATCAATTCTTTTAGATTTTAATAACTCTATTAATCAATCATTATTTCTTAGTCTGTTAATTAAATAAGACAGGCAGATATGGTTTTGTACAAAGTGAGTTTACCTATTGTAGTTTTAAACTTAGGGGAGTCTGCATCACTGGGAACAGGGATAACAATCTCGACATTGTTAGCAGTAGATCGTCGTTTAAACTGGGACTTAGCCTTCACCATTATCTCAATTCTAAAACAGAAAAAATATAAGAAAGAAAACAGTGATATTTCAATAAACGTCCATGTAAAGTATTTTGTATAAGGACAGAATTTTTTTTTCAGTGTATCCCAAAAAACATGTCCATTGACCAGTATGACGTTTTATGAAAAAAAAAATTGCAGAACTTGTAAGCTTTCCATAATGTCTTGAATCTTCAAAACAGGAAACAATTAATTTCTCCGACAATTTCGAAAGAAAAAAAAACAGACTACTTTTTGAAAAAAGATGACCACATTAATAAGTTTTAAGGTTTAGTGGAACACCGTGTGAGTAATTAAGAAGCATAATAAAGGAGTAAACATATATTTTCTGAAAATATTACGTGATCTATTAATAAGCCATGGATTGTAATATTACACCCATGACTATAACTAACCTGCTGTGATCATGTCTCTCTATGACAGACTCGATCCAGATGAGAGGTTTGACATGAGTACTCAACCTGTAGGACATCAACTCAAACTCTCCGTCAGGGGGGATAAACGAGATCGTCCTGTCATTCTCAAACCTTAATAATATCGTCCCTTGATTTTAGACAAATTATTTAAATTCGTTTATTGGCGCACACTGCACACTCACAGTTATATACATCTTTTATTATCGTTTCTTTTTCAAAAATGCTTATAAACTCCCCCCCCCCCGC